CGCTCTTCAGCTCAAGGCTAGCACTCTACCACTTGAGTCACAGCGCCACTAACAGCTTTTTTCTTTTTTACTTATGTGGTGCTGAGGAATCGAACCCAGGGCCTTAACCATGCAAAGCAAGCGCTCTACCACTGAGCCACCTTCCCAGCCCACTTTCTGCTTTCTTGCTCATGATTCAAGTCAGTTTCTGAGGGCTTCCTTGCCTTCCGAATGGTATCTGTCATCTTGTTGCTATGGTGGTGTAGGCCCCTTTTTGGTGGTTGGGTGGACTGTTGGCTCTAGTAGTATGCAAGTCAAATCTCTACCTCTGAATGTTGTCCTACAATTTGTATCCTTTTAATTCTTCTAATTGGACAATGTGACAGTTTTCTTTCTGGACTTCCAGAATTGTTATCTTCTGTGGCCTTATGTAAAATCTTCAGTGAATGCCTTGAGTCAGGAGAGAGTGTAGTGTTAGTGATGCTTGGCTCTGGGATCTCTGGGTTCTGAGAAAAAAAATGATCCATTGATGGTGTGGTGTACATATTCTAACCTCTCTAGACATGGTGTCTTCAACAACACTATTTCTCATGGTTTTGGAGGCTGGATGTCTCTAGAATCAACACAGTCAGTGTGGTAAGGCCCTTGGGGAGTGCTCTCCTCTTCCTTTTCCTGGTTTTGGCTTCACTTGGCAGAGAGATTTTGTGTCTATTCTTTCTAGGGGCCTTAATACCACCATGGGGTTGTACCCATATGACCTAATCTGAACTCAGTCACCTCCCAGAGCTCCACCTCAGATCATACTGGGAATGATGGCTTCAACATGGGTTTGAGGGACACATTCTATTGCAGATGGTGTGATGGTATTGTTTCTGGATCCCACCTCTCGCCCCCAGTCTTGTCTCTTGAGTACTTGCTGACAATTGCTATTCTTTTCTCTCCCATTGCTCTGTTTGTTTTTGTGGAACTCTGCTCTGCCTGTTTAGTTCTTTAGGTCTTATTTTTGAAAAGTGTTTCTTTTTAGAGTCTTACATCATTGTCACTCTTTTCCTAGTTCCTTGACTGTTTTCTTATTTGAGTATTGAAATAGCTTGAGTATAGAGAATAGGTGGTAAGGTCAAATTGGGTTCTTTACGCTTTACAGTTTTTTTAAAAAATTGGACATTTTAAATACTTGGAGTACAGAGGGTAACTGAGCACTCAGCTGCCTACTACCCAGATTTAGTGTGTTGACATTCTATTTTATTTTTACCTTAATCTTAAAAATATTAAAGAATTTACTCTGTGTGTGTATGTGTGTGAGTGAGTGTGTGACGTGGGTGCATGGTGCATGTGTGTGTGCTTACACTCAGGGCCTCTTGCTCTCACTTGGCTTTTTTGCTCAAAGCTTAGCCACTCCTCTACATTGGCTTTTTACTGGTTAATTGGAGAATGGAGTCTTAGGGACAGAGTTACGTAAGTTATATACAGTTACATAAGTCAGGTATGGAAAATGATTTTAAACACATAGAAATTAGTACTATGAACTCTCTGGATACAGTTTAAACACAGTTCAGTTTTTTTTTTTTTTTTGGTCCGGTCATGGGGCTTGAACTCTGGGCCTGGGCGCTGTCCCTCAGCTCTTCAGCTCAAGGCTAGCGCCCTACCACTTGAGCCACAGCACCACTTCCGGCTTTTTTCTTTTTTGCTTATGTGGTGCTGAGGAATCAAACCCAGGGCTTCATGCGTGCAAGGCAAGTGCTCTACCACTGAGCCACCTTCCCAGCCCAGTTCAGTTTTTTTTTTAAACCAAGATAGTTAACTGATATATTAATAACATTTTTATATTTGGAAACTTTCATCTTTAGGATAACACAAAATATTAATAATATTCATTTGAGGGATCATTTTAGTATTCCTACAAGTTAAGTGGTGATTATTTTGAGTCCTTATTACTAGATTTTGAAGTTTACCCTTTTCTTTCTTTTTTTAAAAAATTTTTTATTGTAAAAATAGTGTATAGAGGGGTTACAGTTACATGAGTAAGGTAATGAGTCCATTTCCTATGGAGCATTGTTACCGCCTCTTTTGTTTTCCCCTACCATCCCTTTCCTCCTCACCTCCGTAACATTTCCTTTCCTCCCCAGCACAAGTTGTAAAGTTCATTTTCAATATAGTGTGAAGTTTACCCTTTTCATGTAGCCTTGCTGAGTTCAGTGTGTCATGTGCTGTTTTGCTCCACATGCTGCTCAGACTAATGTTTTTAGGCCCATTTTCTCCTTGTCAGGGTGATCATATATTATGAGTATACCATAAATACTTTTTTTTTTTTTTGACCAGCCTGGAACTTGAACTTTGGGCTTGGGTGCTATATCTGAGCTTCTTTGGCTCAAGATAAGCACTCTACCACTTGAACCACAGTGCCTCTTCTGACTCTTTTGAGTACTTTATTAGAGATAAGATTCTCATGGAGTTTCCTGCTCTAGCTGGCTTTGAACTGCAATCCTCAGATCTCAGCCTCCTCAGGAGCTTAGATTTCAGGCATGAGCCACTAGTGCCTCCTGTACTATAGGTACTTGAAAATGTTTTGGTGCTGGGCGCTGGTGGCTCACGCCTATAATCCTAGCTACTCAGGAGGCTGAGATCTGAGGATCATGGTTCAAAGCCAGCCCGGGCAGGAAAGTCCATGAGGCTCTTATCTCCAATAGACCCCTTGAAAACCAGAAGTGGCGCTGCGGCTCAAGTGGTAGAGTGCTCTCCTTGAGCTGAAGAACCCAGGACAGCGCCCAAACCGAGAGTTTGGACCGACCAAAAAAAACAAAAACAAAAAAAAAAAAAGTTTTGGTATAAGAAATTATGAAACAATGCCAGGTGGTTCATACCTGTTGTAATCCCAGTATTTAAGAATTTGAGGCCAGCCCTCTCTAAGATGGAAGGGAGGGAAGGAGAGGTGAGGAGAGGGAAGAAAGGGGAAAGGAGGAGCGGAACCAGGAAGGAAGGAAGGAAAAGGGAAAATTGGGGGGGGGGGAAAGAGAGGGGAATCCTAAACATGTAAGGACCCTATTTTTAAAAGAAGGTACAGGGATCAGCTAGTGATATCCCTGGTCACAGCAATGTTTGAGACTGTATTAAACACTGAATTCACTGAGTTACATATCATGGCTGTCACATCCATCTCTTCCAGATAGCGGTGGTCATGGGCTCCTGTACAGCAGGAGGGGCTTATGTGCCTGCAATGGCTGATGAAAACATCATCGTACGCAAGCAGGGTACCATTTTCTTGGCAGGACCCCCCTTGGTAAGCATATAATTTCTGCTGATTGAAGGTAAATAGACATAGCCAAGTGATGGTGGTTCAAGCCTATAATCCTCACTATTCAGGAGACTGATATCTGGGGAATCACAGTTTGAAGGCAGCGCAGACAGAAAATCCCTTGAGACCTCTTATCTCCAGTTAACCACCAAAAAACTGGAAGTGGAGCTGTGGCTCAAGTGGTAGAATGCTAGTCTCGAGTAAAAAATCCTCAAGCCCCAGGACTGGCACAAAGAAAAACAAAAAACCAAACCAAATTAAAAAATAGAAATGACAAAATTATACAATTTTAACTAGTTTGGGTTGTGTAAAAACCACTATGGCTGGGCGCTGGTGTCTCATGCCTATAGCTTATACTCAGGAGGCTGAGATCTGAGAATCATGATTTGAAGCCAGCCAGGGCAGGAAATCCATGAGACTCTTATCTCCAATAAACTATTCAGGAAAAGCTGGAAGTATTGCTGTGGCTCAGTTGGTGGAAGGTTAGCCTTGTGCACAAAGCGGCTCAGGGACAGCATCCAGGTCCTTACTTTAAGCCCCAGGACACTAGGGTAAATTTTGTTACCTTTTAATAATGTTATGTGTAACAAATTGCATTAAGTACATTTACATTGTTATACACCATCAGTGGTCCATCTCCAGAACTACTTCATCTGCTGAAACCTATCCAACGCTAACTATTCCTGCCACTCTGCTGCCTGGGTATCTACCCTTCTCCATTCTGGCTATGAATTTGCTGTAGGCATCTCACAAGTACATAAAGTCATACACTATTTGTCCTTTTATGACTAGTTCACTCAGCATAATGTCCTCAGGATTCAGGCATATTGTAGCATGTGTCAAAATTTTAATATTTAAGGCTGTCTATAAACATATTTTGTTATTCTTATTGGACATTTGTATTATTTTCATCTTTACACTGTTGTGAATAATGCTACTGTGAATATAGATGCACAAGTATCTGTTTAAGTCCCTGTCTTATTGTACTGGCTATACGGCTAGAAGATTGCTGGGTTATATACTATTGTGTATTTAATTTAAACTTGTTTTTTTTTTAGGTGTTGCTTCTGCCTCTCCTTCCCAAGTAGCTAGGGTTCTAGGCAAGTGCTATCACACCTGGCTTCCTGGCTTGCTTCATTATTTTTTTGTGGCTGAATAGTAGTATTCCATTGTATAGCTATGCTCCATACTGTTTACCCATTCACCAGTTGATTGACACTGGGTTTTGTTTCTTGTTTTTAGATATCATAACAGTGATGTGAATGCAGGTCCATCCACTCCCTCCTTCCCCCGCTTCTACGGCCTTCCCAAGACAGTGACAGTCACACTGTGCTCCACCTGAGATGGAGATCGTCCCTGCACTCACTCTGCATCCCTTCTGGGGAAGAGTGCAACACCAGTTACTAGTAGGGATGGGGAGGAGGAGTTAGGCTAGGACCATGCACAGGATTGAGAAACGCCCAGGAACTGCTAGAAGGAAAGAGCTGAGGCTCTAAGCCCCAAAGTTGGAGCTCCACTGGGCAGGACAGTTCGAGAAACTCCTCTCCCTCCAGTTAGGCTCGAAGTGGAGCTGTGGTTCAAGTAGTAGAGTGCTAGACTTGAGTGAAAAAGCTAAGTGTGAGGTCCTGAGTTAAAAACCCTACAGGCATGAAAAGGAAAAGGAAATCCCTCCTTCCTTCTTTCCCTCACTCTTTCCTTCCCCTCTCCTTTCTTTCTCTTTTCTTTTTTTTTGAGAGGGACTCACTGTGTGCACGTGTACATGTGCGTGCACACACACACACACACACACACACACACACCTCATGCATTTATGTAAACTGCTGGCATTTCCCCAGTGATTGTGTTAATTTTTAATAACTCCTATGGAAGACAAGATGAGCCAGAAGAGCTGTTGGTTTAAATGTGATAAAAAGTCTCACAGCAAGCTTCAGCACTTTCAGTACTCTTATTCTTTAGGATTACTCATGCTACATGGGACAGATGTTATTGGTTAATGAGAGGGAAATGCACTCAATATTTTTCCTTGTTTTTCATTTTTCAAAAAGGATTTGCTAGCTTTCAGTAGTTATACAAAGGTGATTTTAATCAGCAAATCATTTTATAAAAGTACAATGCATTTTGATCAGTGTCATCACCCATTCTATCATTCTTTCTTCTCCCTCTCTCCTTCTTTCCCTCTCCTCCCCCTTTCTCCCTTCGTCTCTCCTCTCTCTTTCTCCCCCCACCCACTCCTACCCCTGTTTATACTAAGAGTCTTGCACTTGCTAGGTAGGCATTCTACCACTGGAGTGATACTCTTAAACTTTACAAGGTATTTTTTTGTACATGGTCTCCCATTTACATCTAGGTTGGCTTGGGCTTTGACTCTCCCATTTATACTTTGTTTGTAGAGAGAATATCAGACAAACACCACTCAGCTTGTGTGTGTGTGTGTGTGTGTGTGTGTGTGTGTGTGTGTGTATGTATGTGTATGTATGTGTGTGTCTGTGTGCACGCACTCGTGTGCATGCATACACATGCATGCTCGTGCACGTGTCAGTGCCAGTCCTGGGCTTGGATGCTGTCCTTCAACATTTTTGTTCAAGGCTAGCTCTCTATCGCTTGAGCCACAGCCCCACTTCTGGCTCCCCTGGTCCTGTTAATTGGAGATGAGAGTTTTATGGGCAATACACAGGTGGCTCACACCTGTAATCCTAACTAGTCAGAAGGCTGAGATTTGAGGATCCCAGTTTGAAGCCAGCCCAGGCAGGAACTAAGACTCTTACTGCCTATTAACTACCAGAAAGCTATCTCAGACTTTCCTGCCCCAGCTGGCTTCTAACCTTGATCTTCATATTTCAGCTTTCTGAGTAGGTAGGATTACAGGTGTGAGTCACTGGCACCTGGCCACTCAGCTTTTTATTGGTTAAGATTGGATCGTGCTAACTCTTTGCCTGGGCTGTCCATCAATTGCAGTCCTCTTGATCTGTTTCCTACCTTCCTCCTTCTCCTCCTTCCCTTTTTTAGCCAAGATTTTTCTGTATAATTGAGACTAGCCTCAAACTCAAAATTCTCCTACCTCAACTCCATCATAGCTGGCTACACTTGCCGAGTGAAGGGAATGCACTTTTGTGAGTAGTTCTGGTTTATTTTTCACTAGAAAATGAGTTATGGTATGAGTGAAATTTCGACATTTCTGTTGGGAAGAAAATGTATCGTAATGCTTGAATAATGCTGAGTGTATTAGAGATTTTATGGAGTCAGTAGTTGTAACTTTTTTTTTTTTTGGGTCCGGTCATGGGGCCTGAACTCTGGGCTGTTCAGCTCAAGGCTAGCGCTCTACCACTTGAGCCACAGCGCCACTTCCAGCTTTTTTCTTTTTGCTTATGTGGTACTGAGGAATCGAACCCAGGGCCTCAGGCATGCAAGGCAAGCGCTCTACCACTGAGCCACCTTCCCAGCCCGAGTAGTTGTAACTTTTGTGGTTCAGGTTTAGCTTGTATGTTAGAAGCAAACAATAACAGCAAACCTGCAGTTATCTGAAGGTTCTCAACCTACATTAGTAGTGAACCTTTGAAAACAGTGTTTAGAAGAGCACCTCTATCTCTATGAGATCTCTAAATCTGGCTGTCATTAAAGATGCTGAGAAAGGCTTTGTAGATGAGGTTCAGCAGCAGTCACTTTTGAGAAGCTTAGAAAGTGACAGAAGCAAATGTTAGTGAGATCAGCTTTTGAAGAAATTTGTTTTTCTGTCTCATTTATCTTCTGACTTGTTATTTATAAGCTGTTTTAATTTTCTCTAACTTTATCATCTTTGCACCTATCACAGCATCAAACGTGGGTGTTCAATAAATATTAACTGATGACAAATTCTTATTTTTTTCAGTTTATTAGTCAGATCCCTGAAAATAAATATATCTGTCATTTATTATTTTTTGGCTACTTTAAATATCCAGACACCTCTTATAATTAGTTATTGTCTGGATTGAATGTTACTTTACACTGAATTTTTTGGGAGGAAAACCAATAATTGATTTCTGGGGGTAAAATAATTGCAAGTTTTAATTACCTCTCCCTGTAGAGAGATACTTTAAGAAAGTCTTCTGATGTAGCAAATAATAAGTCATTTCTGTGTTGTATCTTAATGATTTTTATTTGAATACAGATTTTTTTTTTTGGTTGTGGGGATTGAACTCTGGGCCTGGGCACAGTCCCTCAGCTCTTCAGCTCAAGGCTAGCGCTCTACCACTTGAGCCATACATAGCACCACTTCCAGTTTTGTGAGTGGTTTATTAGAGATAAGAGTCTCATGGACTTTCCTGGGCTAGCTTTGAACCATGATCCTCAGATCTCAGCCTCCTAAGTAGCTAGGATTACAGGCATGAGCGATTGGTGCCCAGCTAGATTTTTTTTTTCTATTGAAGAACAGATTAACCCAGGGAAGTAGGAATCAATATAGTTCCCACAGGATCAGGGTGTCATTTAGCATTAATGATTTTTCTTCCTTTTTTCCTGCTACAATTTCTCAAGTTACAATTAAGTCATTCATTTATTATTTGAGATTTCTTTCTCTTTACTCATATTCTCCATTTTCATGTAAGGTAATCTAGGAAAATTTTTTCCACCTTAAAGGTGTAACCCAGAGTAGGTGATAATTAAAATTTTAGCCTATTAAGTTACTTGAAGATAAATCCTGCCCCCAAGGAAGTCACAGTATAAACTTGATGATAGGGATCCTTGAACATTACTGAAATCCAGTGTGGCAAGGGTGGTATTGGAGGTGTGTAAATGGAATTCCGTAGGACCTTGGATTGGCAAGCCCTACTCTGCTAATACTGTAGGCGTCTGTCACTGTGAGAAAGTGGAGTGGGTATGGCAAGCTAGTGGGAATTGCAAAGATAGGTGAGACAAAAAGGATCCTAGGTGGGAGGGGGAACTAACAGACTCAAAAGGCTTTGCGGCCTGTGTGGAGGCAGCACAGGAGAGGGAGGGGCAAGCTTTCAGTGGGAAATGTTTGGCTCAAGTCAGGCTTCATCACTTGTGCAAGGACTGAGGGCAAATTCTTAGTTAATCTGGGTTCAGGTTTTTCATCTGTAGACTAGTGGTCATATTCTCTGGGTATGCTAGTGTTGCATAGTTCTGTGGTTATAGTCAGGTTAGAAGATATGCTTGTTTAGGGAATCATTTGTATTATGGATAGACTGATCTTTCACTGTAGATTTTGTCCTTGTAGGTTAAAGCAGCTACTGGTGAAGAGGTGTCTGCGGAGGATCTTGGTGGTGCTGATCTTCACTGCAGGTGAAACAGGAATGCTTGTTTCTTTTTAGGATTGATGACTATGTTACTTGTTTTACATCATTTTTTTCTCAGTGCTCAGCTTGTCAGGCTAAACTATAACTTAGTCTTCAATCTGATGTTCTGGGTTCAGTTTTTTGCACAATTGCATTTATAAGCTAGACTTCAGTTTTTTCAGTATGGTGTAGGACTGGAGAGCCAGGTTTCTCATTTAACAAATATCCATTGAGTATGTATTATGTACCAGGCACAATTTTGTTTTTGAGGTGTGATCAAAGATGTGATGGTTTTTTTTATAGGGGTATAGGAAGGTGAGGAGGTAAACATGATGACATGAGCTGATTTCATTTTCTGAATAGGACACCTGGAGGAGAATTTGGGACTGGGAAAAGGGGATCAGGCATTCCTTTCAGACTTGAAAAACTAGATCTGCTCATGTGACATCTAAGTTGAGATTGCTAGGAAGGCAGTCTCCTATGAGAGGAACAGTTCAGGGTTGGAAGTTTTTTTTTGGGAGTCTGCATAGAGGCGGAATTTAAAACTGTTGCACTAAATATCTTCACCTTAGGGTGAATACCTTTAGAGAAAGGGGCTCAGCACTATGCTCCAAGTGGCAGCTTGAACTAAGTTGCACCATCAAGTTCAATAGCCACACAGGTCAGTAAGCTCCCTTTGCTCTTTAGGGAGTCAGGTGGCTGTGGGAGAAATTTAAGGTGACAGGGAGGATGAGTGGTGACATTTCTACATTTTTCTTTTTCCTATCATAAACTTCCAAACTAGCCTCTTGCTAGTTTGTTGAGGGATCCTTTGTCCCAGTTTTCAAGAACTCATTCCTTTGACAATCACTTGTGGATAGATTGATTGTATTAAGTCAAATGACTAATTCAGAAAATCTTAGATCTAGTTCCTATCCTCAAGTTCTTATAATTAGTCAGGAGAAAGAAATGAATGAACTAAAAAAATTATAAACATGCTGCTAACTTTACACTTAACAGTTACAGGGAGAATAATTAAACGAATGATTAGGGTGGAGTTGACTTGGTCAAATTAAAATTTGGGAGGTGGCATGTTGCCTGAGCAACACGGCAGGGGGTAGGGGTTGGGGGGTGGGCAGTGGTATAGGTATAGTACTGTTGTACAACTGGCTGCTTCTGACTGTTACTACATGGATACCAGCAAGTATGTACCAGGCTGGCATGGGCATTTCATTCTGGAGAGAACAGGGTGGCAAATAGAAAGGTGCAAGTTAGGAACATAGGACATGTGTTTGTAAATGCTTCATCAGGGGACAGCAATATAATAATTGAGGAACATATTTTTTTTTTTGTCAATTGTATGGCTTGAACTCAGGGCCTGGCATTGTCCCTAGGCTCTTCACTCAAGGCTAGCATTCTACTACTTTGAGCCACAGCTCTTACAGTTTTCTAGTGGTTAATTAGAAGTAAGAGTCTCATGGCTGGGTGTTGGTGGCTCATGCCTATAATCCTAGCTACTCTGGAGGCTGAGATCTGAGGGTCACAGTTCAAAGCCAGCCCGGGCAAGAAAGTCCGTGAGACTCTTATCTCCAATAAACCACCAGAAAACCAGAAACAGCGCTACGGCTCAAGCCGACAAAAAACAAATAAAAAGTCTCATGGACTTTCCTGCTCTGGCTGACTTCAGACTTGATCCTCACATCTCAGCCTCCTAAGTAGCTAGGATTACAGGTATGAGGATTACAGGTATGAGCCATAGATGCCCGAGGAACAAAAATTTTTTTTTTTGGTTGGTCATGGGGCTTGAACTCGGGGCTTGGACGCTGTCCCTGCATTCTTCAGCTCAAGGCAAGCGCTCTACCACTTGTGCCAAGTGCCACTTCTGGTTTTCTAGTGGTTTATTGGAGATTTGAGTCTCATGGACTTTTCTGCCCGGGCTGGCTTTAAACCGTGATTCTTAGTTCTAGTCCTCCTGAGAGCTAGGATTACAGGTGTGAGCCACCAACGCCCTGCCAAAATATTTTTGTAAACATTTGACTGTTTAAAAAAATAAAGCTGTATGTAGGCAGACCATCAGGTTAGGAATGTTGATTCTGGAATTCATTTTCTGTTTGTTGCACTTACTTCTCTTGAGATTTAGCCAGACTTTAGGCTGCTTGAGCCTCATTTCTTGTGTGGAATGGAGATATGGCTAGTTCCAACCTCCTAGTACAGTTTCTGGTACAGAAAAACACCAGAGACTGTTCACAGTTGTCTGTTTGAAACCATGGCAATTTTTTAAAAAAGTGTTAAAAAATGTACTTGTCACATATTGTTTTATGTTCTGTGAAGCCTCTGATTAGTCTTTTTTTTTTCCCTGCCAGCCCTGGGGCTTGTTTTCAGGGCCTGGGCACTGTCCCTGAACTTCTTTTTTTTCAAGGCTAGTTCACTACCACTTGAGCCACAGCACCACTTCTGGCTTTTTCTGTTTATGTGGTACTGAGGAATTGAACCCAGGGCTCCATGCATGCTAGGCAAACCTCTACCACTAAAGTAGAGGTTAATTTGATACAAGGTTAATTTGATACAAAACTTGCTTATATAGTTTCTCACCAAAGATTTTTCTTTCCTTCTGTTTTGGTAATTTGCCTAAATATTAGACAATTTTTTATAAGAAAATACTATTTTAAATACAGCTCCCTCTGTTTCTGTTTTTAATTGATTATGGTGCGGTTAGAAGTTATTATCATTGGTTTTATGAGTAAAGCATTAGATAGGATCAATTTTGAAATGTTATATTGTTGAAAGGCCCATTATATGCATAACAATGAAGAGCTATAATAAAGAATAACATGGCCTTTGCTCTTATTTGTGAACACCCAGTCCAGAGGTAGAGTTACATGAAATTATCATGACAGCCAAGGGTTGGGCAGTTTCCTTACATGTGACATCAGACCTTCAAGTGTAGCAGCTCAGTCCATATAAGATGAACCCTCAATTTTTTTCTTCAGGTATATATTTTTACCCGAGTTTGAAGAACTTTTAAAATGCTTTATTAGATAGCCGTAGTACATCAACATCTGAAATAACAAGCCATCTGACTCGGGCAAAACTAGTCACCAGAGCAAGCCCATGCTTCCTTTGTGGCACTTTAAATCCAGAGGAACTCCCATCTCATCATTCCCTATTTTATGGGGATTTTTTTTTTTTTTTTGCTGGTCGTGGGGTTTGACCTCAGGGCCTGAGCTCTGTCCCTGAGCCTCTCTGTGCTCAAGGCTAGCTTTCTACCACTTGAGCTACAGCACTACTTCTGTTTTTTCTGAGTAGATTTTTGGAGATAAGAGTCTGAGAGACTTTCCTGCCTGTCTGGCTTTGAGCTGTGATCCTCAGATCTCAGCCTCCTGAGTAGCTAGATTACAGACATGAGCCACTGGAGCCTGGCTTGGCCTAGATTTTTATCCATCATTCAGGGGACATTATTTTCAGCTTCATTACCAGGGTCTTCAAGAGACCATGATCAATATCTTCATTAGAAGCCCAGTTGGGTGCAGACACTCCTGATGTTATTGGCTAATTGTGAATGTGTACCATCTGTGGACAGTGTGCATCATTCTGTTCCAGGAGCACTTAAAAAAGAAGCCTTGTCAGCAAGGCCCATGGTTTAGCAGAAGGTCAGGAGAAATAGAAGTCATAGGCTCTGGTACTGCTGCTATTAGTTCTAGGGCAAGGTACCTGTGTGTACCTCTGTCTTTCCTCTTTGGAAAATGAAGGTTATGTCATTTTCCAGTGACATTAGGAGAAATAAATAAAATGACTCTTATGGAAGTACTTTGCAAGTAAGAATTGTCCTTAGCTGAGGAAGGTATTTGGGTTTAGATGTTTAATTTCTTCTTTTTCCCAGTTCTAGTTGTTATTATGTGCTTTACTCTCTAGAAAGTCTGGAGTCACTGACCACTATGCCTTGGATGATCACCATGCCCTTCACTTAACAAGGAAGGTTGTGAGGAGTCTCAATTACCACAAGAAACTGGATGTATGTAGTATATGCTCTCCTTTTATTTTCCTGCAGAGTATTGTAGCTTATGCCACCTGAATCAGGTTGACATAGTGTTCCAAATTTTTATAGGTTACTGTTGAACCTTCTGAAGAGCCATTATTTCCTGCTGATGAGTTGTATGGAATCGTTGGGGCAAACCTTAAGAGGAGCTTTGATGTCCGAGAGGTATGTGGAAAGGAAACTGAGCTGTTAGCCATACTGTCACAGTATCTTTGTGTGTCATTCTCAAAGCTAGTTTGTTGCTGTATGTTCTTGCACAGGGATAGATGTGGTTCTTACTCAGTAAGGAAGTGACATATAGGAAAGATGTTTTTTCATAGTATAGGTGTCACTAGTGAGATGGAGAAGTCTTTAGTAATTGGGAAATTTTCAGTGCACTACAACAGAGCTTGGATTGTTCCCAGATCAGACTCTACACCCCTGTGGGCATTAGGAACAACACAGTGCATCTTCACAGAATTCAGCTATGCCTTCTCAGTGTTCTACTTGGGAAATGGATAAAATGTCAGAAAAAAATCCTTTTGGAAAATCAGTATGACATTAGTGAAGAGTAGACTTGATTACAGTTGGAAAAGTTGCTATGGTTACAGATTTTGATACAGTCTTCTGTAATCTAAAATGACAATTTTCAGCGTTTGCTTGGAGCATGTAGGCTTTTATTTTGTTCAGTATCTATAGCTGGCAGGATAATTTTTGGACTGGGAAATCATCTTAATAAGAGTATCTGTGCTAGAAACTTTAACCTTTAAAGTTTCTTCCTCTTTTTGGCTATAAAACTATTTACTCAATAAAAAATGTAGAAAACACAGTTCTTAAAATGGTTCTATTCTATCAGCCAGAGAGAGTGGCTCACTTTTGGATATTTTGACATAAGACATGTTTATATTTGGCTGTCATCCATGGCTTCTGGGTTTGTGGTTCTGCTCCCATGGATTCCACTAGCCACAGGTCACTAAAGAAATATCTGCAGCTGATCATGTACAGACATTGTTCTTATCCTTATTCCCTACTCAGTGCCGTACAACAATTATTTGTATAGAATTTACATTATGTTAGGTAATAGGAGCAACTGTCTGCTTTAGGAGGATGGGCATAGGTTATGTGCAGGTACTATTCCACTTTATGTAAAGGACTTGAATATATGTGGGTTGTGATATGAGAGTTCCAGAACCAGTCCCTCATGGATAGTGTTGTATGGCTGTACATACACATATCTACATACCATGCTTTTTCTTTTACAATTCAAATTATAAACATTTTTCCTTGTCATTAAAAGTTCTTCATGAAACATTTTCTCTAGCTGGGTTTTAATTCTTATACTAATAATATAGTAATATGGTAAGCATTAAGTAAATACTTTATGTATGAATTGATAAATGCATTTGTTATTCCATTGTATGGACGTGCTTTTTTAGCCTTCTGTGTGCTGGAGTACAGTAGTGCACCACTGTGTCTTACTTTTTTAAATAGTAACCTCATCTTTCATTTTTTGCTGTTTTGTGCTGACTGTTGTTGTTAAATTCTATTTTTTTTTTTTTTTTAGTCGGTCGTGGGGCTTGAACTCTGGGCCTGGGCGCTGTCCCTCAGCTCTTCAGCTCAAGGCGAGCGCTCTACCACTTGAGCTACAGCGCCACTTCCGGTTTTCTGGTGGTTTATTGGAGATAGGAGTCTCACGGTTTCTCGTGCCCGGGCTGGCTTTGAACCGCGATCCTCAGATCTCAGCCTCCTGAGTAGCTAGGATTACAGGTGTGATCCACCAGCGCCCGGCCTCTATTTTTTTTTTTTTTAAAGAAAGCAAGTAAGAGTTGGACAGAGTCTCAATATTTGTGGAGTTAACAACAACAACTGAAATCTGAACTGGAAAACCCAGTCCATTGTGTAGGATTAAACATCTGAGCACTGGTTTCTGCTTCTAGAAGTGGGTATAGAACCATATTGTCTATCTGTTCTTGAAGTCTAGATTCTTAGGAAGATACTTTAATGTGACATGTGTAGGAGGAAGATTCAAGATCAGTTCTACTAACGAGCCCTTGATTGCTGTACCCTTGGAGCAACTCTTCTTTCTGGAGCAATGGTAGTTGTTATTTGTTCATTGCTTGTTAAAAGAGGCTCAGCTCTGGAGGCCCATAGCTAAAACAGTTAACTGGTATAGTTGCATATTTATGCAAATTAACTAGCAGATAGTAATAACAATAGACCCTTAAAATGAGAGCCAGTAAGTGTGCTTTAGTTAACATTTAAAATATTAGCTTTAAAAAAGATGAAGAAGTAGATGCAGAGAACTTTAAGGTTATTCATTCATTTATTGATTTTACAATAAAACAATTGATTTTGCTGGGGATTGAACCCAGGGCCTTATGCATGTTAGGTGAGTACCACAGAGCTACATCAGTTTTAAGATGTAGGTTTGAAAGGTTTTATGACCAGTTTTTCAGAGGTAGAACTTCATCAAGTCCTTTTGGTCCTTCTTCATCATGTCTTCCTTGCTCTGTATCATCTATGTGGAAGTGAAAATGACTCAAATAATGTGCTCTGGGAAACCAGGCTTTGTGATTCCTTTGACTGGTGCCAGTGTCTTCTAACTCTAAGCTCTTCTGTGCCCTGCTTCTTCTGGTTGTATTCTGAGGCATACCAACCCCCTGCACCTCTGCTTGGAGCTGAGCCCAGTCACCAGTACCCTGTGTCCTTGCTACTGTTTTCTTGTGTGCAATAGTGCTCTTGCTTTATGGTGCAATAGCTCTTGCTTTATAGTAAAATTAGAGCCCAGTATATGTTCTGATCAGTAACGATGTCTGTCAGGTAAAATTCTAGGACCATTTTTCTGTGTACAGTGACATTTTTGTGAAAGTGACTATGTCACTGTAATTAATTTTCCTTATAAATAACTTGAATACAAAAATTGCTCTGTGGTATCATTATTCAGAGACACTTATTATTATTATTTTTTCCTCTTAGGTCATTGCTAGAATCGTGGATGGAAGCAGATTCAATGAGTTCAAAGCCTTATATGGAGACACATTAGTTACAGGTACAAAAGTGAAGAAGGGAAAATCTGAATGTTTTCTACTGTTTTGAAAATAATCATCTCTTTTTGCAAGGCTTTGATGCAGTTGGCATGAGCTTTGTTATTTGGAGCACTACAAATGTATGAGTCACTTTTTTAGTGGAGCTGTTTCCTACAGATTATTTGTAGCTGAATGGCTCCATAGATGCAAAATTGAAAATGATGACAGCTGATGCTGTGGTGTGGGTCTTTAGCTGTGACTTTGTGGTATTGTATGTGAAGGTTCTTACAGTAAAATTAGCAGGAAATATTTGTTGTTCTTTCTGCCCTGGGTAGCATAATTATTTTAAAGATTTCAGCCTTGTTTCCTGCATTTTTCAATCTAGCTCAGCTGAGAAATTTGATATGATGCTTAACTTTTCAGAAGGATGTTAAGGTGACTCTTTTCTCAGATGATCCTGCATACAGTGGATTGTAGACACTATCTGCTTCCTGTAAGGGTGGATGGGCTGGGTGTCTTTGTCATACCACTTATCATACCTTGTCTGAAATAATTTGAGAATGTATAAAAGTATTTTGTTTTTTGTCTTCAGATGTTAATTTTATAGACTTCTGAAGAAAAATATATCATACAGATGTTAGACTCTTGGACAAATAGCAGAACCAGTCTTATGAATTATACTTGTTTGTGACATGTTTGAAAATAGAGCAGTTAATCTGAAGATAACGTATCAAAGTAGGGAAAAATCCTAGCTGTAAAAATCCAAATTGCAAATGCATATAAAGCTTAAGGCTAAACCTTAGCATTTTCTCTTGGTTTGATTTGTGAGCAGGAGAAAGGTTCACACAGAAAGTAGAATTTATGTTTTTATATTTAGGTGTTTAAGTGATTAAGAGCTTTTTGTTTGATATATGGACAGGATTTGTTACCAAATGGTGCAGGATATAACTCTGATTGTGTAGCAGTTTAGAGCTTCTCTGCTTTCTAAAGATGGATGGGCTGTCCTTGTCAGCTACTTCTAATGTATGTGCCCAGGACTTGCCAAAAGACTTGTGGCACTTTTGTCCTCAGAAGACTGGGGATAGATCCACCTTCTTCCACTTCTTGAAACTACTGAAACATATAAGCTTGGAATAAGGAGGGGAGAGAGAAGAACAGGGGATGCCAGGGAACAGGCCTAAGGAGTGGGAGGAAGGTCAGATTTCATAGAGACTCAATGTCTTGAGAAGGGAAGTTATTAAGGATTTCCTCTTGCATCAGAACTTGACCTTATATAGGCCCCAGTAGTTTCTTGGATTTATTGGCTTTCTTGCTTAGAAGTCCAAATTGGGTCAGACAGTTGATGCTCCCCAATAGTGTGCCTAGCACAGTGGGTCATATTTCCTACCCAGCAAGTCCATCAGTACCTGCTCCTCAAGCTGGGCCATGAGGTTGAAGGTCTTTGTGGTTAAAAGAGTAGCACATTGGGCATTGGAGGCTCACATCTCTAATCCTAGCTACTCAGGAGGCTGAGATCTAAAGATCATGATTTGAAGCCAGCCTGAGCAGACAAGCCTAAGAGATTCTCATCTCCAATTAACCATCAAAAAAATTTAGAAGCGGAGCTGTGGCATATGTGGTAGATCATTAGTTTTTAATCTAAAAAGCTAAGGGATAGTACCCAGATCCTGAGTTGAAGCACTGATTCTGGACGTGTGTGTGCGCATGCGCGCGCGCACACACACGCACACACACACACACACTCTCTCTCTCTCTCTCTCTCTCCCAAATGAATTCTAGCATGCTGCCTTTGTTGGTGGGGCAAGGCCAGAGTGGGTTGCTTGACCTTAGTGGGAGTTTCCCCTTGCCCAAGATGCTTTTGGACGTGGTAGTGCCATTTAGGTTGACTAGGCAAAAGCCTATGCTTTTGTCAGGAATTTGAGGCCTAAGAGTCATAGGTGGCCATCACAGCAGCATCTGTTTTATTGCATTAAATAAGCATGCCCATTAAAAAATAAGCCAACTGGGTGCTGGTGGATTACACCTGTAATCCTAGCTACTTAGGAGGCTGAGATCTGAGGATCATGGTTTGAAACCAGACCAGATAGGAAGGTCTGAGACTCTTATCTCCCTCCAATACTCAGAAAAAGCTAGCTACTCAGGAG